TTTGGACATTTCTATATAAATATGATGTAATTCTCTAAAGCTAACAAAGCAATGTAAAAAGGGATTATTTGCACCCTTTCCAAAACACTGGAAGTGAAGTTCAATTTAAGTGCACAAGATTTATGACACACATACCTAGCATTTACAACAAACTTTGATGAACTAACTTGTTCAAATTATAGAAGATTGGCTTCGGAAGCCGCATCACAAGGCGTTTCCATATCACCATTTTCAGGCTCATTCTCACCTGATAGCTCCTCAAGTGATTTTCCTTTTGGTTCAGGCAACAAGAAAGTGAACAGCATTCCGAGGGCATTGATGCAACCCAGTATAATGAGTGCATGCTGCATTCCTAGGCCTTTGGGGTACTTAGGATTATCTCTTAGAAGCTGTTGGGGGTCCTGCGAAGCATATAAGAACCCAAATGCACCAACTATGGCACCGGCCTTCCCAGTTGCAGCTGAAATCCCATGGCATGTTGACCTTAACCTTGCAGGGAAGATCTCTGCTGGGACAACAAATGTTGTGGTATTGGGTCCAAAATTTGCAAAGAAAAAGGTCAAAGCATACAGGATAACGAATCCGATTGGGTTATGTTGCTTCCAGTAAGAATAAGGAAGGGCCAGAGCAAGCATGAAGACTGTCATGAAGAAGAAACCCATGAATTGAATAGGAAACCTCCCCACAGTATCAATAAAAGCAACTGTGAACCAGTACCCTGGAATGGTACCAAGCAGTGCTACAAGTGTTTGCGCTCTTGCAATCCTATAGACCTCGTCAATTGCATTCATCTTCTCTGGTTGAGGAAGCCAACTAATTGCAGTGAAAATATCCTTTTGGAACAGATTTTGACTGTAAAAAGCAATGTCTAAAAGGAACCAAGTGCTGGTAGTTCCAAGCAAGTGATATCCATGTCGTCGCAAAAATTTCTTAGAGAACAAGCCGAACGAATTTGCTCGATCATTGGCTATCATATCCTCCTCTGCTTCAATGTCTATATTCAAAACCTTTCCCATGTCTGTGGCAGCCTGCTTGGCATTCTTAGCAATGAGGGCAGTGTACCGAGCAGTTTCTGGCATCTTCATTCTCCAGTAAAAAGTAAGTGCAGCAGGGAAAGCACCAAACATAAGAATTATGCGCCAGACGTAATCTGCCTGAGGCACGGTTGAAACGTTGGCGTTCTCACCAAAAGCCGGGGCTGGAAATGCAGAATTAAATGCAGCAGACACAATAAGAGCCACAATCCCACTGGCCAAAATTCCAAATCCTTGCATCGCAAACACTGCAGAAATGAACGCCCCACGAGTCTTTTTGTTTGCATATTCAGACATGATGGTAGCTGAAAGAGGATAGTCACCTCCAATACCAAAACCAAGCCAAAATCTAAAGAAACAAAGAGCTGCCATAACACCCTTTGGGTTGCTTCCAAAGGACAGCCCTGAGGCTATAGAGCAGACAACCATGAGTATCAGAGTTATACCGTAGACGCTTTTCCGTCCCATCTTGTCACCAAGCCATCCGAAGAACAGTTGTCCAGCTAGGGTGCCGCAGAACGCGACGCCATTTACTGCAGCTAGGACTTGTATAGGTAGTGTGCCTGGCTTTAGGTGCCCTTCCTCATAGTAATATATACGGCCAAGCAGTTTGGTGATGAGGGAGATGCTGAAAAGATCATATGCATCGGTGAAGAATCCCATTCCAGATATCACGATTGCAGTGAAATGGTACCATCGAATCCTGACCGTATCGAGAGCAATAAGCACTCGCAATTGCTGTCTAGGCATGGCTGCGGCTGCAGAGTACTCCAAATGATTGTATCAAAAGAATTTCTCCCCAACAATCTGGCATAAGAATATGCAGGTCATGAATTAGCATAGATTTCAAAGCATTTTTAGGGGAGAACTTCACCTCCAATAACGGAGAAATTGATGGAATTGATGGTTCAACTAATCATGTTTACTTAATTTTTCCAAATGGAAGCACCTAATACATGGAATTAATTCTTTGTTATCTCCTGTGACAATAATTGACCCCAAAAAAATTGACTCCACCTTTTAGAACACAGGAGTTGAGACTGGGTTACAGAATCACTGCAGCACCTTATGAATATGCTCTTTAAGGTCAACTCTTTCACCAACCCCTCATTCTCAATACTTGATCAACCATCCTTTTTTCTATGATATTTCCACGGTTAGACTGGGTTACATGCTTTTAAGAGGGTGACTTAGTTAAGGCCTGAGATTCCAATTGGAGTTTTTTTATTCAAATTTTAAGTTAGGTAGAGAAAGATTTGGGAAAAAAGAGGGGACTGTAAGTCTTGTATATCCCATTATCACTTGTAACAAAACAAGAAAAAGGAGATGTAGAAGTGTGTGATTTTGATTTGGCAAGATAGAGTACCTTAGTGCAAATGATTTCCTTTGACAACAAAACAATGGTCTCCACCACGAGCGACCGTGAATTCCATGATTGAAGCAATAATAAGAGTTCAAGTGACTTCCTTGATTTCAACAAGCAATGACAGCAGCGGTCTCCAGCAAAGCAAACTAAGCAATGGTAAATCCCATGATTCAACCATCAAAGATTTGTTGCCATCAAAAATATAGTGTCCGAGCCACAAGCAACGTAAACTCCAAGATCAAAGCAATGATAGGCTTCAGATGCTCTGTACCGCAAATAAATTTCGGATTTTCTTTTGTAATTTTTTCCTGTATAAAAAATCAGTAACATAAAGCTCTGTCCTCATCTTGGTGAAGAGTTATTTTCTCCCACAGATATTTTTTCATCCTTCTTGTCAGACATGCCTTCCGTGTCCCGTGCGTCGCAAACATGAGATTGAAAATCCATAGCTGTTCTTTTCAGTGCTGGTCCTTTCTTTGAATGACCATTGGAGGGTGGTTATTATTATTATTATTATTATTATTTTAGTCAAATGAGCTCAATGACATGAGCTAGCTCTTTCCTTCTCAAACCTCTTTCCCCACGTCACTTAATGGACAGCATTAAAAGCTCATAGTTCAAAATATTAATTTCTTAATGGGTTAAAACAAGATATTTAAAGTATGTTAATTAAGAAAATAAAAAAGTAAAAAAGCTTGGGATTTAAGGGTAATTACCAATCCTAGGATCGATTCCTTAAATTTTTTTTTTTATTTGTTTAAAAGAGTAATTGAGCTAATTAAAGAGCAGGCCAACAGAAAAATTAACTAAGGAGTAAATTTCAATATTCATCCCAACTGTTTGTATTATTTAAATTCTGTCCCACTCCCACCATATGCCCCTGACGGTGAGTCCCATTTTACACCACATTTGTACCATAAGAAACAATACTGGTATCCCACACCACATTTGTACTATAAGGAACAATACTGGCATCCCACAAACAGGAATTAGGAAAATCAAGACGAGAAGCTAAGAACAAGAAAATAAAACCAGTACTGTGGATACACATACATAAGTTTGACAGTAAACTTCAGCTATAATTAGCTTGTGCTGAATCTAAATTGACAGAGGAATTGTCCTTGAAGACGCGCCTTGCATTTCTGTCTCACCATTTTCAGCCTCATTCTCGCCTGATAGTTCTTCAAGCGATTTTCCCTTTGGTTCAGGCACCAAGAAAGTAAACAACAATCCGGCAGCGTTGACACAGGCAAGAGCAATGAGAGTGTTTTTCATTCCGATGCCAGCTGGATAGCTTGGACTATCTCTCTGTGCTACATCCTTGTCTTGAGAAGCATATAAGAAACCAAATGCACCAACTATAGCACCAGCCTTTCCAGCTGCAGCTGATATCCCGTGGCATGTTGACCTTAGCCTAGCAGGGAAGATCTCTGCTGGGACAATGAATGTTGTGGCATTAGGTCCAAAATTGGAGAAGAAGAAGGTGAGTGAGTACATGATAACGAATCCGATATGGTTATCAGTCTTCCAGTGATTATATGGGATGGCCAGAGCAAACATGAAGACTGTCATGAAGAAGAATCCGCCTATTTGAATGGTAAACCTCCCTATGATATCAATAAAAGCAACTGTGAACCAATAGCCCGGAACAGTGCTGCATAGTGCTATGAGAGTTTGTGCCCTTGCAATTTTGTAGACCTCATAAATAGCATTCATACTTCTTGCAGCAGGAAGCCATCCAATTGCAGTGAAAATGTCCTTTTGGAACAAATTTGAACTGTAGAAGGCAATGTCCAAGAAGAACCAAGTGGTGGTGGTTCCAATTAAATGAATTCCATGCCGCCGCATAAATTCTTTGGAGAACAAGCCATAGGAATTTGTCTGGCTTTCAGACATCCTCACTACCTTATCCTCCTCTGCTTCAAGATCTACATTCAAAACCTTTGACATGTCTGCAGCAGCCTGTTTTGCGTTCCTCGCCACCAGGGCAGTATACCGGGCAGTTTCTGGCATCTTCAATCGCCAGTAGTAAGTAAGTGCAGCAGGAACAGAACCAAACATCAGAATTATGCGCCAGACATAGTCTGCTTGTGGCACAGTTGAGGCTATTTCACCTTGGTCGTAAGGTGGTGCTGGGAATGCATGATTAAATGCACTTGACACAATTATAGCCACAATCCCACCAGCCAAAATTCCAACTCCTTGCATTGCAAACACTGCAGCAATAAATGCGCCGCGAGTCTTTTTGTTTGCATATTCAGACATGATAGTAGCTGAAAGTGGATAGTCACCACCAATGCCAAAACCAAGCCAGAATCTGAAGAAACAAAGAGTTGCCAAAACACCCTTTGGGTGGCTTCCAAAAGACAATCCCGAGGCAATAGAACTGACAACCATGAGCATCAAAGTTATCCCATAGACCTTTTTTCTTCCCATCTTGTCACCTAGCCATCCAAAGAAGAGCTGACCAGACAGAGTTCCACAAAATGCGACACCATTGACTGCAGCTGCAACATTGATAGGGAGTGTGCCAGGTTTTGTTTGGCCTGGAACATAGTAATATATACGGCCGAGCAATTTGGTTACCAGGGAGATGCAAAAAAGATCATATGCATCAGTGAAGAATCCCATTCCAGCGATCACAATTGCAGTGAAATGGTACCATTGTGTCTTGGCCACATCGAGTGCATTCAGCACTCCCAACTGTTGTCTAGCCATGGCTGCAAGATATTCCAAATTACTAAGTCAGAATATTAGCTCGCAACCGGTATGGAACATAAGAAAAAATGGTGCTGATGAAATAGGATAGAAACTTCCTTAGTAATTAAGTCCAACCACGTACTACGAACTAGAGTACAAATTAGTGAATTAAATTGATGGCTCAACGACCTTATTAATTTAATTATATATAGATCAACTACCACCTTGTGTACTCATTTCCAGCTATGACTTAATTGCTTTTAATATTGTTGACTAGTCAACACGGTATCCCTCCTATGGGTTGAAAATCAAGATGCCTAGATTGAAAATGCAGGATTGTGAATGAAGTTGTTCAAACATCTTTATTGAATCAAACTTTAATAAATTTTATTTATAGGTTTTTTTTATTGAATTTTATTTGTTGAAATGTCTTTACTAAATCAAACCTTATTAAATCTTATTTATATGTTTTTTTTATCAAATTTTATTTGTATATTGGTTTATTAAAGTTAATTAAGTTTTTCAATTTTCATTTTTAACATTTTAATTATGAAGAACTCCTAATTTAATTTCCTCAATCCCTATTGAAAGTCATCGTCTGGACTTTGATGGCCACAAGCATAAAGAAAATTGTTGATGTTAAAATTGCACCTACTTTGTTTGAAAGTCATGACTCGCGAAAAACAAGTGGACAAGGAAAGATATTTTTGCAAATGTACAAGGCCATCTTGTAGCCTGCAGCTGGCCTTATGCCAGAAAATTGTAGTGCAGGCCTTGATTATATGCCCTTTAGAGAGAAACTTATGATATTCTAGGAAAATTATCTTACTGTTGGGAATTGACAGGATTAACCTGTCATCGCCCGAAAAACAACTTTAGGGGGCTAGAGTATATATAATTGATTGAATAAATAAAATTAACAATAGATAAATAAATAAATAAATAAACCATTACTGCGGTGCTGTTAGGAAAAGAAAGGACCATGACTCGAATGAAAGATCGTCTATATATCGAATCCTAATGACGCTTGATATATGTAAATGGTGTCTAAAAATGGTCCTTGTATGAAAAGAAAATAAAGTTCCGAGTTGAACTGAAAATATAAATTATGCAGGCATGCATGCATGTTTCACGGTACAAAGGGCTTTCCTTTTTATGTCGTGTGTCATGCGATGTTTAAATCTGAAAAGAGTTCCCATGCTTGCATGAAAGAAAAGTAAAGAGAGACTAAAAACTTGTACAAAACAAAATATCGTAGAGAGAGAGCTAACCTGGTTCCTGGGCCCTCAGGCGAAGAGAAAGGGTGAACTGAAGAGAATATCAGAGACGAAGAAAAATATGGAGTTTGAATGATATGGAGATGAAGGGGCTGGACTTTTATACGAGAAACTTGCTTTTGCCTTCGATAGAAACTTTTAGCATCTTAGGTATATCCCCATAATTATTTTTTTCCAAGTCAACTCTTTTGCAAACTTTGATTTTACGGTCAACGTCGCTATTTCTAGCTCCATCAACAAAAACACTGAGAACTTTCCCATACAAAAAAACAATAAAAACATCCATCAAGGAAAAAAAAAAAGGGTAAAACAATAAGAACTTGATCTTAGCCGAGAAAGGTATAGAAACAGTGAGAATTGAAAATTAGACTATATTCTAAGAATGAGGCAACGCCAACTAGTCCTAGCTTCGAAAACCTGGTAATCTATTTCCCTAGTATTTCATAATAAGGTTAAGAATTTAATAGAGAACATTAATTAATCCAAATTATGAGAGAGAGGAATGCGTATTAATTATTAAGTTAATTTGGTCCCATTAACTTTGATTACTAGGGGGTTAAAGTCATGGCGCGCTGTTGAAATACTTGCCATATATATTATTGCATGTTTTCACCAACTTTCATTGATGATAAAGAAAATTAATCTTCATCCTTATCTTGATCTAAAAATTTTTTTTTAGTCAGGGGTTTGAGAGTCTGTAGTTGAAATGTGCCCATGGCTGCTCCCTAAAAGGAGGACAATTGCTTCGAGCAAACAATAAAAAAAGGTTCATAATGTTGGTAAAAAAATATAATCTCCCCATTAAATTTTAATAATAATTTTTTAATTTTTTAAACATTAATTTTAAATAAAAATTTTAAAAAATATATAAATAATAATTAAAAAAATTTATATGTAATTCTTATTAAAAAGTTTTATTTAATTAAAAATTAAAAATTTTCAATTATCATTTATATATTATGTAAAATTTTTATCTGAAATTAAAATTAAAAAAATTAAAAATCAAACTATAACAATTAAAATTAAACGGAAGGTAATATGGAACTACGCTTGGCAGAGTCTCATAGTTCTAGAACTTAATTAATGTCCAAGCTTTAATTTTTGTGTTTAGACGTTAAGTAATAAGTGATAACTAAAAACTGACAGAATCTTCTTCATTTCTCAATCTGTCATTTTATTTTTTGGTCTGTAAATGAGCTAAAAGTTGTCGTGTGAATTTTCTTCGCAACATCCCACACCGTATTCTTCAAGCATAAAATTTTTTTGGTCCACACCATGTAAATTAATCGTGATGCTGAAGTTGTGAATGCATACAGATAAAAAACAAAAAAGTCAGTATCAAACTATTAATAATATAGTTAATAATTTAAATAATTTAATGGTAAATTTTTTTATAAAAATAAAATATTTTAATTTTATGATGT